TTGCTAATCAAAATTGTTACTTTCATATCTATTAGCAAAACAATTCTCCAGAAAACAGACGCCTGTTTAATCACAAAAATTAGGCTCTTGTGACTTCTGGAGAATCTAATATATAATAATAATATCAATGATAAGGGCAAATCTGTAATTTTACCTCTCTTGTATGATTCAGACTTTGTCGCCTCACCTAAAGACAAAGCTGAATCGTTTGCTAAAAACTTTTTATCAATATCATCTATAGTTGCGTTCTACCTGACATAGCCGTCAAACAGGTTGATCCATTGCTTGACTTTTGTATCACTCCAGCTTCTGTATCTAAAGTGATTTCCTGCTTAGACTCTTTTACAGCTTGTGGCCCAGACAACATACATGTTATAGCCTTGCAGAAGTGTTTTCTGGAGCTTTTGTCTATACTTTCAAAACTATTCAAGTGCTTATCAGTGTCTTGTTTTCTAGCCTGCTGGAAAGCAGCATCTGTTATCCCTATTTTCAAAAAATCTGGAGAACAATCTGATTCATCTAACTATTGTCCCATTAGTCTTCTTCCTATCATAAGCAAGGTTTTTGAATCTTTAATTAACAAACACTTAATCTCTTATCTTGAATCTAATAACCTACTTTCTGATCATCAATATGGATTTTAATTTTTTTGTTTTACAACTGATTTGCTAACAGTAATGACCAATAGGATTTATTGTGCATCAGATAGATGTGGAGAGGTTAAGGGTATATTGCTCTTGATAGAGCTTTTGATAAAGTTTCGCATCAAAATCTAAATCTTTATCAAAATCTTTTCGCATCAAAATCAAAATCTTTATCAAAAGCTTTTGATAAAGTTTCGCATGCTGGTCATCTCCATAAGCTTTCTTCATACAGTGTATTTGGTAACATCTTTAAGATTATTGAATCCTTCATTCCAATCTTAGCACAAGAGCTGTCCTTGATGGACAGCACTCTTCTCCATATCCTGTAACTTCAGGGGTTCCTCAAGATTCAATCTTTGGCCCTATACTCTTTTTAATTTACATTAACGATTTTCCAGATATTCTCACATCTAAGGTGGGCCTGTTTGCTGATGTTGCTACCATTTATTCTTGTCATGATAAGAAACCGACTCTCTCTGATTGCTTGGAGGGGACATTTTAGCTTGAAAAAGATCTCACTTCTGCTATAGCATGGCGCTAACAGTGGCTGGTGATCTTTAATTCAGATAAAACTCAATTTTTTTCAGCCAATTTTTATCACAATAATTTAGACCTTCCTATATTTATGAACCATAATGTACATGAGTCATCTAACCTTCCTCTTCTAGGATTAACTCTTATTTCCGATCTTTCTTGGAAACCATATGTCAAATCTGTTACAAAATTAGCATCTGCTAAGGTTGCATCTCTTTATCGAGCTTGACACTTATTCTTATTCCGGATTCTATTCTCTATCTCTATAAATCTCGAATCCGGTCTTGTATGGAATGCTGTTGCCATATCTGGGGCGAATCCTCTAAAGATGCCTTTTCTTTTTTAGACAAAGTGCAAAAATGCATTGTAAACATAGTTGGACCTGCTCTTGCAGCCAACCTTCAGTAACTTCCAACACTAACTAGTGGTTGCTTGCAGCCTTGTTGGAAACAAAGATGTATAATATACATTATAAATATATATATATATATATATATATATATATATATATATATATGTATATATATATATATATATATATATATATATATATATATATATATATATATATGTATATATATTATATATATATATATAATATATATACATATATATATACACATATACATACATATATACATAGAAACAGACACACAGGCAGACTCTTTCTCTCCCCCTTCCCCCCTTTATCTCTCTCTCTTTATATATATATATATATATATATATATATATATATATATATATATATATATATATATATATATATATATATATATATATATATATATATATATATATATAAAATAAACAACTAAAGTTAAAAAAGTACATATAAGACTTTTTAAACTACATAAAAAATAAATAAATAATTATTTATTATTTAGTTTTATTTTTTTATTTCTCCTCATAAATACAAAAGTTTTTAAACAGTTTAATAGACATATTTCATATATTACAAATAAATACATAAAAATTCCATATATTTAAATATATTTATTTCATTTTCATATTCGAATGCCTTAAAAGGAAATTATATATTATATAAAACATGTACACAACTTCATGAAAAGAAGCAATTTCAAGTTATAAAATATTAAACCATTAAAGCCTGTAGTAAAATTATTTAAAAAAACATGCTAAACTTCATTTATAAACTTACATAATTGTAACTTACATAATTTATTGAGTGATTGGTACATACTTGCACTCATATTTAAGTAGATTTTCAACAGATGAAGTTTTATGAGGATAAGGTTTATTATAAAAATGTTGGAGGCTTTTATTTCGAATATCTGGTTTACTAAATGTTTCTATAATTGCTTCTTTATGGGACTTGAACTTTCTGGTTTCTTCTAAAGTTGTTTCTTTATTTTTTCTTGCTTCTTTGGTAGAATACAACTTGCATAAAAATAATCGCAGTGACTCATTTACCTCCTTGTTGTCAATCATTACTACAGAAAAAATGTATCGATATATATACAATTTACAATGGAAAAAAAGTGTTTATATATATATATATATATATACACATATATATACATATATATACATATATACATATATATGTATATATATATACATACATATATATACATTTATATATACACACATATATATATATATATATATATTTTATTCTAGACATGTTTTATAAAATTTTATTTACATTTTCAAAAGATAAATATTAAAAAATTTAAGTCTTTACAGTGAAATAATAATGGACAAAAAGTTTACATAATGAACCAATATATTTATTAGAAAATAACTTGGTAAATAACCAATCAAAATAACTGTCAAAAAAAATTAATAACATTAATAAGCTGACAGTAAAATTAAATAGATAAGTTTATAGCATATTGTGAAGTTTGTTTATTAAGTGAGGGACTTTCCCATTTATTGTAGAGGGTTTCTTTTACCTTTAATTTGTATTTGGTTGGGGCATTATCCAAAATCTTAAAAGAATCACAGTTAGCCAGATTTTTGCAATTAACAGATAAATTTAAGTATTTAGATATATGAGATTGTTTATCGTTTTTAAGGTGCTCATTTATTCTAGTTGCTAAATGTCTGGAGGTTTCTCCAATATAACTTGCATTACAGCCAGCGCAAGAAAATTTATAGACAACATGAGATTTAAGTAATTTAGAAAGTGTTTATTAAGGTGTTTGTTATTTACCGAGTTATTTTCTAATAAATATATTGGTTCATTATGTAAAATTTTTGGCTGTTATTATTTCTCTGTAAAGACTTCTATTTTTAATATTTATTTTAGAGTTTTATTATTGTAAAATAATCTTTTAAAAATGAAAATAAAATTTTACGAAACAGGTCAAGAATAAAAACATCATGTTATTTTTAAAAATAATTACTTATTTTATGCTATTACTATGATATATATATATATATATATATATATATATATATATATATATATATATATATATATATATATATATATATATATATATATATATATATATATATATATATATATATATATATATATATATGTACAGGGCTATATATATATTTATATACACACATATATATTAGGGTAGGTTGATTTTAATTCCGCATATTGCGTAATATTGTAGTAGTTATAGACAGTTAGAATAGGATTACTCTCAAAATTTGAGAGATTTTGGATGAAGAATCGCTTGCGAATTTTATTTTTAAGATTTGTTGGATTATGTAAAAAAAACAACTTAAAAAGCGTTATATGCAAAACTTGACGTTTTAACTATGTTCATATTTAAATGTTTTTCAATACTATTTGCTTTGCTGTATGATTTAAGTTTATAATAGTTTATAACAATTAAGCTAAATTTATAACAACTTGTTAACTATTTGAAGATTTAAATAGTGAAACTTTTATTCTTATATTTACATAAGAATATCAAAATAAACATTATTTTCACAATTTAAAACATTTTGGATACGGATATATATATATATTAGGAAAACATTTTCAATTAAAAAATATCATCATAAGAATGGGAATAATTCCCTTTTGAAATATACAGTTTACGCATCTTCCTGCTAAATAGTTTAGTTAAAATGCAGCTGTGTTAATTCTCGAATTTATAAATATTGGGATGCGTCCGACACAAGTTATACTGCTTGCTCAACACTCTGGGAGTGAGATGGAAAGTCGGGGATTTCAGGTTTAACACTATTGTCAATGGCATATTGGATTTGCTCAATTGAAAAATGTTGTGTTGTTGGGGGCTCCGTAAATTTAGTAATGCTGATATCTACCAACTCATACCAATGATTAGCATTAAAATTAATTTCTGGAGTTTTTTTCAAATTTACTTCTAAACTTTCGTTGTTTACTCTATAAATATAAATCAAATCCAATGACCACATTTAATGTATCATTTTTTTTCAAAACTTTATTTTAGTTTACTATAAAAAAATACCTTTGCCTTAGACCCAGTAGGATTTGAAAACCAAAGTTCGTATCTTGCTGTCATTATCTTTTAACATGGCATAAAGAATATTTTCAGGTTTTAGGCACAATGCATTGTTTTTAATGTTTTTTTTTAACAATATGTTTAACATCATCAAAGGGGAGATTATTTATTCTAGTGATAGTAGAAAAAATAAGGTGCAGGGACTCGTGAAATTTTGAAGATTTTTTTATATCGAACCACGCTGGAGCGTAAACCTGAACAATAAAACATACGAGTTTTTTTAAAGAAACAGTTGGTTGATTGTCTCTAGTATACAAACAGAGAAGACGAATAGCTAGAGTTAACCACCTTGCATGGTTAAGCGGTCCAATTTTATAGGTGGCCCATTTATCAGAAATTTACCAAAACCTATTCCTTTGCAATATCCAAATAAAAGTCTTTGATCGCAACTAAGGTCTTCTAGTATTTCTTCTGGAATATATCCATCTACAATTAGGTTTTCAATACGATTAAACAAAACTTGATTTCTATCCTGAATATTTTCAGCACATCTTTTGCCAAGTAGACCACTAAAGCTTCTTGGCCCAGTTGTGTCACCATCAAGTTTTACAAAAAGAGCTCGTAACGGAAAATCATTTTGATGTAATGCGCATCCAATTAGATGTAGTTTTCTTTTTAAAAACTCTTCTAGTTTTACCACTAAGCCACTTATTGGTCCAGTATTGGTAGCAGTATTATCAAGAAGAACAGCTTGTATACTTTCCAAACTGTTATGTTCTTGTAAAACACTAAACGTTTCTGTAGCAAGAACTAAACCTGTAGCACCGGTGACAGGAATCGTCCTATGCATCGAATAATTTCCACTCAATTTTCCATCTTCATAAGTAAATGTGAGGTGATGTTCAGGTTCAATGCATTTTTTTAGTACTTCTCCTTGAGGTAAGTTTATTACTATACTTGTTTTTTTTGTTCTGAGTCCACCTTTTCACTAACAATTTTTACTTTTGACTTGGCCCTATCTAACTTGCATTTGTCAATCAAAATATCTTTAATATCAATGTCATTTTTCAAGAGATGTTTTATGTAATGTAGTAAAGCATTTGCAAGGGCTGCACCTACGCTTGACGAACACTCATTTCTGACTAATTCCATTGCAAATCTTGGAAGTTTAACTAAGTTGTATTTTCCATTCACCTTCATCCTAAAAAGACTTAATAAAAATAAAACCCTTTCTGTTTCATTTGTTACAAATCTTTCATGTATTTATAAAATATTTACCTCCATATTGGTCAAACCACTTGTTTCTTCAATTAAGTTTACTTGTGCTATGAGGGATTCATCTTCATTAACTAGCTTATGAGATATTTTTTGTCATTCTTTATCAAGTCTTTGAATCCTTTTGACAGATAATCTATCGATGGAAGAAAGTTGATATGCACCTTTTGGACCAATTTTTTTCCTCTGATCACGAAGATAAGCTCTGTCTTCCAGAGGTACTTTATTACTTTGAGAACAAAGGCATACAATATGTTCTTCGATGCAATTTTCTTTATAACATGAAACTTTTCTGTCACTACAGGGAAACACATCTAATGAACAGGAACACGCAGAAATATCAAAAAGTTTAACCAAGTTTGCATCAAGATTTCTTTTAGCGCTTGCTTTTCTGTGCTTGCGATTAATATCCTTAACAAGTACGAGAAGATCTTTAACTTTCCTATTAATAGATTTGTCAGTTATAAGAGGTAATCTTGGGTTTACTGTAGCCCAAATTGATTTTATATTATTGCTAATTTGCTGAGTCACTAATACGATATCTACATTTGGATTTATATGAATAAGATAGTAAGAATACTGAATAACCTGTCTAAAAGTGCTTGGATCTGTCGTTGATAGTTCACATGGGCCGCCACAATCTTTTTTTTCACTTTTCATCTGTGTAATTGCAACCTTTACTTTCGGCATTTTTGTAGATTAATTATATATGTAAACTGTATTAAAGTATTACACTTAGAGTAATGGACAACGGCGTGAGTTTTTAGTGGGGGCCAAAGCATCAAAAAAACCTAAAATATCAAAACTTACTATTAAAAACCTGCTTTGATAAAAAATAAAGAAAAAAAACTCTTTTGAAAAGATTTGGGGGCCATGAATTCAGGAAACTCAGGAATTGAGTAAAACCATTAGTTCCATCGAAAAGTTTTATATTTTAATCTACTTCAGAAATTGCAAATCAAAACTTATGTAATATAAACAGTTTAAAACATTACTCTAGATATAATAATCATAAGTATTTACCTTTGATATTAAAAGATTTCTTTAAATTGCAGTTTTATTTTTGAACCTACTTTTAAATAAATTTAACTTTAAAACTAACTTTAAAATACAAACAAGAAATTTAAATACAAAAAAGATTTGCTAAGTTTAAATGCGTGTAAACGATTTAGCAAAACTTTATTGGCTTCTTAAATCAATTGCGCTTGTTTATTGGTTACTTTATAAACTCAAAACAAGATATTTTAAAACAAGATTACTAGACTTAAAATAAAATTTTGCAACGTTTGAAATAAACAATCTAACAAAACAAGTCCAAAATTAAGACTTAAAATGCAAATCCGCAAGCCATTTTTAAACCAGGATACTTGAGATTTGGTAAAACCTCATTTCTAACCTAGACACAGAAACTGCAACATTACGCAACTCAAAATTAAAAAAAAAAAGCTAAAATCGACCTACCCTAATATATATATACAGGGCTGTCCCTGGGACAAACTGCCCTGGGCGCAACAGCAATTATTTTCAGCAGCCTTCTTTAGCGCTTTTGGTCTTCTATAACTTCCTAAAATATATTTACTATTTAAAATCTTGAGCGCCCAACATTTTCAGTCATTGACTTCAATGAATATTTTAGGTTGTGCCCTTAGAAGCCGAGAAAAAATTTATTTTTTACTTTTTAATCTATTTCACAAATGCTTTTTCAAAAAAAAAAATTTTAACGATTTTTTTATTTAAACTTAACTAAAGATTATTTTGTAAAACTTTTTTGCAAAACGATTTTTTTAATTTAAGCTAAAGAAACGTTTTTTTTGTTTAAACTACTTTTTTTAATAATCAAAATTATTAATGCTGAACTCATGTTTGTCCGGACTATAAAATAAATAAACCAACAAAAAAGTAAGTTAATAAAATGTCATAATAAAAAAGGTTGCAAACTGTAATCAGAAATGAGCTTAATGATGAGTTTTTTCAATCAGTAATGACTTTAATGACAAGAAATGTGTAGTTCAACTTCTTCAGCTAGTTTTGCAAACATTTCTATTGCTATCTTTTTTTGAGAAAAGCGATTGTAACGTTTAACGATGGTTTCTTTTATGTTTTTAGCAATTACATTGAAAGTTTAAAGCAAATGTATTCATTATAAATAGAATTTAACAATAAATAAAATTTTTTTAAACTTTCTTATTTTCCATAAAGTGAAATGTTTGTTTACATATTAAAACTTTTACCCTTTTTTAAAAGTTTTTTTATTGTGCAAATAAATATACCAAGCATCTTTGATATATTTTATAACTTATTAACTAGAATAAATATTAATTGAATTTTATTTGACAAAAATCTCTTAAATTAAACATTCGTCAATAAATAAAGATACGGAAGTCAACGTTCATTAAAAAAAGAGGATATGTCACGCCCTGGGATAAAAAATAGTTGCCAGATACGATTGTTTCAAGATTATTGTAATTCCTTTTTTTTTAGTAAATAATTTCTTAATTAAAAATTATATTTCCATGATAAAATAGTTTGTAATTATTTTTTGATAGCTTCTGTACTCATTTTGCCTTAAACTCTAATGTAAATATTTTTTTCAATGATTGTCTTTAATTAAGTTGAATTAAAGTACTCAGGAAATTTTGTGGGAGTTTAATTGTAATTATGGAATCAATTAATTTAAAAATTGCTTTATTTATTTTTTAGCGCATTTTTTAACTGCGCTAATTATCAAAACTTGCAAAGAGCCGTGGTCAAGTTGTAAAAACAAATAACTATATGCGTTGCACGCCTCTTACGAGAAGGCCTGTATCTACGTACATCAATCATGCAAAAAAGATTGACGTTGCTTGCGATGCTCTCCATTGAAAACTAGGAGGTGAAAAAACTCAACCTTGGAAAAATTACTAAACAATTTTTCTTAGGAAAATCTCGAAGAATACCTTTATAAATTTACCCATGTCAGAAATTTAAGTTTTCATTTAGAATTACATTTTTTGATTTATTTGATTTTCTTAACTTATTACAATTCTTGAATCGAATGTATATTTATTTATCTTTATGTTAGATTGGTAGGTGGTGTATTAAAGTATTGGTGGCAGCACAAAAAACTTATATATGCAACTATAACTCTGGAGGGAGAGGGGCGCCACAACTATGTTTTCCCCCAGGCATCACATACCCTAGGGATGGCTCTGTATACATATACATACATACATACATATATATATATATATATATATATATATATATTTATATACACACACACTCAGCAATATCAAATATTATGTATATATACATATATATATATATATATATATATATATATATATATATATATATATATATATATATATATATATATATATATATATATATATATATATATATATATATATATATATATATATATATATATATATATATAGTGTGTTAGCCAGCTCAATGGCACCATGTATACTGCAGAATTCCCAAAATTCAATGACTTTTTTTGAAAGTAATAGAACAACATCAATGAATATTGTTATTGTTAATATCAATACAGATTATTGTAATAGAAGGACTTCAATTGTGGAATAACACAACTTTTATTATGGAATAATACAAGCTAAAGCTATTAAGAAATTATTGGACCCTTGGAGTCTCTGGGATTGGTACATGGTTTTGAAACTTCATCATGATATAGGTGAGTAAAGTTTGTGTACGCAATAGTATAATGGAGAATACTTCTGCATTATCTGTTTTTAACTCTTCAAATAAATGAATTAAATTAAGGCTGTCTCCAGGATGCCTGCGTACTGCTAGAATAATAGATGAACAGACTATTACTATGGTTTGCCTTTAGGTATCACATATATGAGCTCCATATAAAGATTAGAACATTTAAACATATTAAGAACTTTTTTCTGCTATTAAATAATCTTATTTTTATGAATTTGTTATTTGTAATTATCTAAGATGCAGCACTTGCAGTTTTTGAAAAAATGTCAGATAGCACGGCTGTTTCACTCTATGTAAAAGTGAGCGTGACGTCATGAGTTTATCAAAAAAAAAAGTATTTCTGCATAAAAAAATATAAAAATTCACTAACTTTAAAATAAAAGTATTTTTTTTCTATAAATGCTTTCATCTTCAAATAAAAAAAACATAAAAGATCTATCTTTTGTTATTTAATAAATATTTACATTAAACGGGCTATAATAAAATATTGTTAAGATATTGCTAATGATTTGGGATCACTTTTCTGTTTTTTGTGATTTTTACGGAAAACCTGTCTTGGATCAACTAAGATTTCCTAACATAGCTACATGCTTAATGGTTGAAATTTGGAACATATATAAATAAATGTCTTTTCTATCTAATTTTTGGTGCGGATTGGTTATTTTTATTTTAATTATTTTTTGGTTATTATTATTTTAATTATTTTTTAATGCATTTATATTTTTATTTTTATTATTAAATAATGAAAATCGTATTATTTTTGTAATCCGCACCAAATTATTGAAATTTCAACCCTTTCTGCATATGAAAATCAAAAAATTGTTTTCTGTACCTCCAGCTATGTTAAGACATGTTTTCAAACTTGGCTAGTTTAGAAACAAATTGTTCTAATTTTTTTCGCAAAATATTGTTTACATTTTAAAACAATCACATGGCCTTAAATACTGTACGCCCCAACCCAATATGTAATGAATTTTATAAAAACAATTTTCTTAGCGAGACAAATTTTGATGTATAAAATAAACAAAGTTTGGCGAATTTTCTTTCTTGTGAGTAATCAACAAACATCAGATAAGTTTTTTAATCCTATTATATCTTGTTCATCTATTTGTCAATAAATATTATTTTGTTTGCATTGTTTGTGTTATATTTTTATTACAAGATTTATTTATCATTATGTATTCTACTGAAAGGAAACTATTAAATTAATGCGGTAGTGGTGTAGCGGTAGAGCGCTCGCTCATAAACGAGTGGTTCCGAGTTCGATCCTCACCACGTCCCTGGTAGTACCGCGCTCAACTCGTTTCTCCGCGCAGCGGCCTTGTTTATCAAGGTTTGTGTTTCGGAGTTACAGAGTTGAGAGAGGGTTGTAGCCACAAAATAAGTAGCCTCCTTGTTTGTAGTGGCCTTCTCGGCCTTGAGGAGGTGAAGTCAAATCAAAAAAAAAAAAAAAAAAAAAAAAAAAAAAATAGAATAGATTGAATGGGACCATAGTTGGGAAAATGAGTGTAACTTTCCATTTGTCAAGCGATTAATTAGCATCGATAAAATAACTAACAATGTAATTTTAATTTTAATGTCAGTTTTTAAGTCAAAAGCATTGTTTAGTTTAATGAGCTTTATATTGCCAATTGATTTTAATTTGCTTAGTTTTGATGAGTTCGATAATATGTGCCAAAATTTAATACGCAAAAAAAAACTTTTTAAAAACAATTATAAAGCTTCAAAAAACGAAGCCTTTTTTAAAATGCAACTGTCTCCTGCTCTACAAATGAAAAAGAAAAAAAAAAAAATCAGCAGATGCAGATGAATTTTCATTTCTAAATAGGAATAAGGAACTAAGTAGTCAAGTTGACCAATTAACTTCTAAAAATATAGCAAATGTTGAGCAAATAGAGAAATTAAAACTGAAGTTATTAAAGTTGGAAGCTGAAATTTGTAATTTAAATTCTAAAAATGAGGCTCTTAGTACACATTGTAACTCATTATGTTCTCAAGTAGAGGCTATGAGTATTAGGCTAAAACAGGAGGAGAAGTTCCAACTTATTTAAAAAAAAAAAAATCAAAACAGCACAACGTAAATTTGCATCTGCTCGTGCCAAAAATGTAAGATTGCTAAAAAAAAATTAAATTTGAAAAAAAACAATGCAAAAATCAGTGATTTAAACCGGAATTGTTGTCAAATTTGCAAATGTCTTCTAAGCGGTGATAAGGATAGTTGTTGTTGATTCTTATTTAGACTATGGCAACATTGGTTCCTCTGAATTGTTCTGTGGATTTAAATTAAGTAATCCACAGACTATATCAGTTAAAAGGCCAATAGTTGGTAAAATATATATTTACATTAAGTTAGGACATGGTAAACCTTATTCTAAGTTAGGTCTGCAAGCAAACCGCAAAAAATGCGGTTTGCTTGCAGACCTCAATAAAGACTGTTTTAGTTAACCTTTAACAATTAAGTAAGGTTTTTTTATTTCAATAATAGTTAAACAACGAGTGTATGTGATTATAATTATCAGAAATATATTTTTCTGATTTTTTTTTGATAAAAAGTAACAACGAATTACTAAAATTTATCCAAGTTCATCATTTGTCGCGCTTTTTATTAAATAAAAGAAGTTTTTTTACTACTGCATTAAAGGTCGTATGATAAAACATTTTATTGTTGTTTTAAATCTTTTTACAGAACAAAATTATCTCAAATATTTCAAAAGTTATAAATGTTTTAGTAACACCCCCTAAGTCAATATTTTCCAAAAAAAACAAGAAGCCGTAAAGCTCACTCTGAAACAGCCGTGATAGATCAATTGATAGTTTTATCAAAAAATTTCTGGTAAATTATTAGGCTGGGCATAAATTTGAAATTTTAGCAGTTTTGAAGAGAGAAAGTTAAAGTAAACATTTTTAAAAGAAAAGGTAGAGTATTTCTTTTGTAAAGATTAAAAAAAAACCTTAATTACTAATTTGGATTACATTTCAAAAGCTTTACCAACCAAAATCCTGAATTTACTTTTTTCACAAGTCAAGCTTAACATTCACAAGTCAAGCTTAACCATTGATGCATACAGTTTTGAATAGAGAAAGTGAAACCATTGATGCATGCACAAACATACATAAAACAAGTAGCAACATGATGAAAAGCAAGAGGAGTATTTATAATAGGATACAAACATGGAAAAAATTAGGAATTTTGCATATACATGGTGCCATTGGGCTGGCTAACACTTTTAATTTCATAAATGACTATAAAGTTATGGAAGAATTGATACATTTAAAGTGAAACCAGGTTTTGTGGGAATTGATGAATACCAAAAAAAAATACAGAAGTGTACAGATTAGTCACTAGTATGCTCAGGGCTTGAAACAGCTAAAATTAATAATAAATTCAGTAGTTTATATAAACTTCATTTATTGAACTATTAATTTTCTACTCGAAACAGAAAATGAATGAATTTTTATGAGCTAATTTATTTTTTAAAAGACCTCTAATCATTAAATTTTTTTGAATTGCCTGGTTTTTATTATATTAAAATGTTGAAATTAATCATTAATTTAAATTTATACTTCAGTATTTGTTTTATTTTTTGTCCTATAGTTTTTTTAAATTTCAAACAAATATTTTAGCTTTTAAAACCTTAAAATTTATTTGATAAAAACGTTAACTTAATAGTTATTTTAATGCTTATAGAAACCAGTACTTTTGATTTTTTAACGATTATAGAAACCAGCACTTTTTATTTTTTAACAATTATAGAAACCAGTACTTTTTATTTTTAAATGTTTGTAGAAACCAGTATTTTCTATTTTTTAATGCTTATAGAAACCAGTACTTTTTATTTTTTAATGTTTATAGAAACCAGTACTATTTATTACACTATTAAATTTGAGTTGTTACGTAAAGTTCGTGTTTGCGGTTAACATTTTGCGCTTAAGATTTTCGCTATTAAAAGTAATCAAAGAAAAAGTTTAAAAAGATTTATAAAAAAATACATATTTATATAAATGTAATTACGTATAATATTCTTTTATAATTTAAATAAAAAGTGTTTATTGTAAACAACCATTAAAATTAATTTGTTGCTTTATTCAATGGGGTAATTAGTAAATATAATAATTTGTATATTTAATACAACCCTCGGAATTAGGGTCGGCATTCGGCAATGCCGACCTAACTGCCAATCTAAAAGTGTTTGAGGTTGGCAAATATTGCCGACCTCATTTCTATGTTTTATGGTAAGACCTTTGTATCAATTTTTTTATACCAACCTCTAAAAGATTGAGGTCAGCAAATTATTGATGACCTCATTTTTCCTAATTTAAAATAGAGGGTTGTAAATATATTTACAACAATTTACTAAGTATTTTGCTTAGTATCGTATTTTTTAAGAAATGTGATATAAATATATTTTTCGTTTCAAATTTTAGATTTTTGAGCTTAGATTTTTTCTTTTTCATTAAGATTTGTCTTTTTTCAGATAAATTTTTATTTTAAATTTTTTAATTTATTTTCAGCGTATTTTTGAAACGCCTTAAGTTGTCAAAACAAACTGCAGTGGTCAAAAAGCAAGTGCAGAGAAGCTATTTTCTGCACTTAAGTTTATATAAAGTAAGCTGCATTCCTCACTCAGGCCCGGTGCGACCCTTTTAGACGCATAGAGTTGAAATTTCATTAGAGCCCTCTAAGATCCAATAAATTCAAAAAGCAATCCAAGATAAGCAATATTAGACCTTTTTGGTAGATCCCATTCAATAGCTTAATTCTTTAAGTGAAAAATTCTTTTTGATCAAAAAGATTGGCATGCTTCAGAGTATTGAAGACAGATCTTGATTACAGATTTTTTTTTTATATGTAAATTGCAAATTAAAGTATTTAGTACTACTATTAGATTCTAAGAATTAAAAAAACAAGAAAATGTTCCTCCCTTTTTCTTCGCTAGAAATCTTTTATTTGTTGAATAAGAGCATCAAGAGTTGAATAACTTAAACTGTTTCTGTTCCTGGCCTTTTTTGTGCAATGGTTTTCCTCTTCCTTGACCTCTTTTGGACAAAGTTTAATTAAAAACCATAAAATGCTACACTGGAGTCTCTGGTGAATTTTCCATCGTCTAAGGAGATGTTTTCTGATTAAGACAGAAAAAGTTTATGGCTTGAAGAGCTTTTAACCAAAAGATTGTCACGCTTATGAACTAAAATAAAATTATTTTACCAGAGAACTTTACTTCATTCAATTGATCAGTTGCTAGACCTAAATTACAAATCTCCTACAAAGATACAAAAAATTCCCTGGGTTGCTTAGAGACAAACTGTCATTTTGGTCAAGATTTTTTATAAAATAGGGCTCCCACTAAAAAGTGGAAGCCCTATTCTATAGAAAATCTTGTCCTAAAAAACCATACTACATACTATAATCTTAATCTTGTTATTTATTTTGTTCTTCTTCATTTAGTTCTTCTTTTTATTTTAAATCTTCTTCGCTTAGGTCTTCACTTCCAAAGAAGATTCAGTGAAATGAACATCAAAATTAAGATAATGAGTGCTGAACAGCATGTAGAGAGCTTATGAGTTTTTCTGAAGTATAATTGTTTTATTGTACACATTTGTGAAATGCTGTTTTGTTGACAAACTAAACTATTGATATCTAGTGAGCAGAGAGATAATCAGCATTTTATATTTTAAATTAAGTAACTAAACAAACAAAATCATTAATGCCCGGTAAATCTATTTTATTAAAACTTGAATTAGACAAAAAAACATTTCAGCTGTTGTGCACCCCTCAATCTGCACCCGGATAAAAAATACTCATTGAGCAATGGTGGCCTATGTTAACTGACCACTGTTCGGTAGAAGAAGAAAAATTTTAAATATAAAACAATAGAAATTAGTAAAAGTAATTGTATTAAAAACTATAAATAAAATGAAATATAAACAAAAAGATTTTGATTTTTACCTAATGATTTTGAAGTAATAATAATATTTTCTTTGTATTTTTTAATATGACACAAAGGATTTCCAACAAGATTTAGTTTATTTAGTGAAGGCCATTTTGTTAATGCATTCAAAAGATCTGATAACTCATTCAAGTCATTGTTTTCTATAAGAAGTTGATTAAGTTTGTACAATATTGATAGATCACCTAATACATCAAGGTGGTTTCCTGATACATTTAAAACTGAAAGACAATTCTAAATAAAATATTACAACAATAAAAAATTGAAAAAAAAAAAAAAATTGAATAAAAAAAAAAAACACAAAAAACTTACAGCTATTGCTTGCAGCGATCTTGGATCAAAAAGTAGTTTTTCACCACATGGTAACTTTTGATAATCGATGTGTAACTCATTCAAATTCCTGCAATTTTCCAAACCTTCAACAACCTTTATTTGATTATGACTTAAATATCTAAATGAACAAAAAAATAATTAAATAACCTAAATAAATACCTAAATAAACAAATAAATATATTTTGATCAAGTATATAAAAAATGACAAAAGACTTATTACAGCTTTTGAAGCGATGTTAGATGATTTAATCCATTTAGTTGTTGTATTTGATTTTGTTGTAAATATAAGTGTGTGAGAAATCCAGCAAACTCAAGATTTTTTATAATTGATATATTGTTGTCATAGAGATATAAGACACATAAATTCTTACATTGTGATAAACAGTCCTAAATTTTGAAAAAAATAATTATAGAATTATTTATTAAAAAACATCGTCATTATCATCATCTATACTTAGCTGAACATTTGCTACTTTTGAATGAGCATTAGTACTAAACATTAACAAAATACTTAAGCCCTTTTTCACAGGAATGTGTTATTTCAATATTTTCAAAAAAAATTGAAAAAGGCATCTCTTGAAATTTTCAAACCTCTAGAGTGCTGTTTTTACATTCCTCACACAAAAATCTTTGAGATTTTAGGAAAATTCCCTGATCCATTATAAAGATATTACAGATGTCAATGTTGTTTTGTTGTCTCTTCAGATTATCAATAAAATTTTTAATAATTTTATTGATAATCTGAAGAGACAACATTATTTCAAAAGACAAAATCTCTGGAAACAATGTGTGGAAATAATTTTTAGTTAAAACCTTTGCAATTATCTTTTGTTTTGGTGTGCATATAAAGTAAAAATTAACCATTTGGGCAACACAATTCGGATGATTTTATATGGAATGACCTTTTAGTTAAACTTTTTTTCACTGATATAATGAAATAAACAGTGAAAAATAGTAAACTTTATAGATAAGTATTTTTCACTGTTAAATAATCAGTGAATATTTCACTACTTTATTGAATCTTTATATTGACTATTATGTTCTTGAGTATTTGGGTAAACAAATACTTATCATTTCAGTTCCCTCAAACTCTTGCATAGTCTTATTACTATTTTTATCATGGTCTTTAATTAATAAACATAAGTCTTATCTTGAGTCTAACTTACTTTTTGACAATAAGTACAGGTTTTAGTCAGGATGACTAAATGAGTGAATTTCATAAGTACAAACTGGCATAAGTGCAAAGCAGTTGCAAAAACTGGCACAAGTGTGAACTGGCATAATTCTTTTGGTGGCAAAAACTGGCACAAGTGTGAACTGGCATAACTCTTTTGGTGGCAAAAACTGGCACAAGTGTGAACTGCACCAAAAGAATTTGCATAAGTACAAATCAGCATAAGTGCGCCAAAGGAATTTATTAATATTGGCATAAGTGAATCGGCAAAAGTGCGTTAAAAGAATTTGCAAACAAAGTCCATTACTTTAGACATTTCAAAGGCCTTCAACAAATCCTGGCACGATGGTCTTCTCTATTAATTCTTTTGATATAACACATCTGGGAAGGTTTTCAAATATATTACATTTTTCTTTTCTAATTGCAATAATAAAATTGAAATTTAAAATATATTTTGTTTATGCGACACAATGATCGCAAAAAGTGACCAATGGAGCCGTCCAGTTAAGTAGACCTGGAAGATGTGAAAATAAAAACAGATTGAAGATAATGTCATTTAGGTAAAAAAACATAAATTAAAGACTATTTAGCAGAAGGAGTAAAAGTTAGCAACTCAGGAAGAGGGGAACCAAAACTCACACTCTAGTCATCTTTTAGCAAATGATAAAACAATGATCTATGAGTAAACAAGTCAATAAAAATCCACTGGTTAATTAATGGTTTTCATAAGTAAAATAATCGCACCTAATAAATGTGGTACTATATATGTTCTAAACCCTAGATAATAAATTGAGAACTGATAATAACCTGTGTAACATAAAAATATATAAATGTCGTTAATGTAACAAATTCATAATAAAGAGCTCACCAAGCGCAAAAATACATGGGTGTAAGAGGTAAAAAAATGTTGGTGCCATAATAAGTTATAATAAAAATTAGAATTAAGTAGTAAATAAATGGTGATCCCCCTCCTCAGGAATGCACTGCGATCACCAATGACATTTCAGAGAGCTCAAGACCTGCACTAACGCCACTTGTCAAGGGCGTGTCCTTGCAACAGATCTCACCGCCTGCACTCTATGTCATGCTAGTCAATATCGCAATATAATAGGACTACACTACAAAAGCAAAAAAACCAAATCCCTATCCCAGTTTTTTAAAAACAGCTCCAACATTCTTAGAGATCTTGTAAGGGTGGTGAGGGATGCGCGTGGTATAGTCAATGGAAGTATCTGAGTGGTTAAAAGTAAATTTAATTGTGGGGTGCAGGTTTTTCATAAATATTATAACATGTTCGAGATCTTCTATAGTGCCTGTGAAAATGTCATCAATGAATCTTTTGTAGAACGTGATGCTGTCTTTAAATTGTCCAGTGATGGCTTCGTCTAATGTGCCCATGAATATGTTAGCGTATGATGGTGCTATGCGTGTACCCATCGATGTCCCTGATATCGATGTCACAAATACATTTTCGTGACGAAGATGTATTTGTGAGGCGATATTGGTTGATGTGAGTCTCTAAAATATGATGTGTTTTGGCTAGTGGTTGTATGAACTTAGTTACAAAGTATGAGAGGTGGTCTGTGGAACCATCGCAAGCAGATACAATAGGTCAAAGAGGAATTCCAATTTTGTGTATTTTATATGTGGTATCATCTGCTAGCATGGTATTAATTTTCTCTTCATAATCTCTCCTGTTTAAGATGCAGATGCTCCTACCTTTGTTGGCTTGCTTGATGATGATATTGTTAATATTTTTTAGTGATGTGATTGCTACTTTCATGTTTTTCGTTAGGTTGGGATGTGCTATCTTCATTCTACCAGGTCTACAACACTGGACGGCTTCGTTGGTCACATTTTGCAATCATTGTGTCGCATAAACAAAAAATTTATTCTTTGTGGCTGGTGAGCCCCGACTTTTTCCAATGTACACCACAACGACAAAACGGACATTAGGCTATCCCGCTGGATGTGGTTACGGCAATCAATAACCTAATGACTACGCTGACACTCACGCACACGTTCAGTCGGAAGCTCCATAATGCACGTCAGATTAGCGCTTGGTGACTATGCGCTGGGATCTGAAATCTCAATTCATAGCACATCATTTCACACCAGCACAGGGCAGTAGTTCTTTTGGCTAAGAGTGATGGCTTGTGGCCTACCGTGACTAATGTGTGCATTTGATCAATTGAAATCCATTCTGTAGGTCTTACGTCTGGCTCTGATGTGCTAGCCCATAAGCGCAAGAAGTTAGTGTGCTTAGCTTTCTATTCACCTGATTTGAAAGTGAATGAAAACATAACAAGACCATACTAGACCACCAAACGGTGCTTACTAATGCACTACACCATCACACCTGTAGACATCAACAGTCTCCAAAATCAGTATATCAAATATATGTTCTTTGTTACATATGATCTACACACAGAGTGACTAGAGTGTTAGTTGGTTCTCACCCCCCACCCCCCAAGCATTTAACTTCATTCTTCACCTTCACAAAAGTCTTATCACTCATTTTATATTTTCTTATGATTTTTATTTAATGACACCATCTTCTAACTGTTTTTATTATCACATCTCTCAGGTCTACGAAACTGGACAGCTCAGTTGGTCACTTTTTACGATCATTGTGTCACATAAACAAAAAAAATTTCTTCATTGCAAATAATCTTAATGGTACCACCATATTTATATCGGCCATCAAAGCCAAATGACAGTAATACTTCAATTTGAAAAGATAAAAGAACTAATAATATCATTAAATATTTTGTTCCATTTTTTAAGTTCAAGAAAGTACTGGAGTAAAATTAACAGAAGCTATATTACAAAACTCAATGATTTGAAAGGTTGCAACAAAGGAGTTCAGACCAGAATTTTAGAAATCAACAGAATAGCTTTATTTGTTCAATTACAAAATTAGTTGAATTATATTTTTATCTTGAAAAGACATGAAAAAAATAATAAGATAATATGTTCCTATTTATTTAATTAATATAGCAATAATTAACAATAAGAAAGAACAACTCTTTAAGGAATTTGTAAAACCACTTTTAAACCTAAAAAAAGATCTAAAATTAGAAAAAGTCTAAAAGATCTAAAATTAGAAAAGTCTAAAATCTAAAAGATCTAAAATTAGAAAAAGTCTTTGAAGGCTCAAAATACAAAATTTTTGAAAAAAATTTGCAGCATGTACCTTAATGTGTTCTATTTGATAAAATAATGCTGGATTTAAAAGTTTTGTGAATAAAAAATATTTTTAGGGGTGCCTCAAGAATCTTGAACATTTAATAGGTCCTTAAAAATAGTACAAAAAAGTTTTTCAAAATTATGCCTTTTTGGGTCTCAAAGTGAAATTATATAAAAATTTGTTATCATTTTTATAAAAAAATATTGACCAAAAAAATTATAATCAAAATAATTTTAAGGGGCATATTTTTCATTTTTAGTTAAATAATATCACTCTACGCGCAGAAATCTAAAAAAAATTTGTATACAAAGTTTTGAATTTTTTTATTATTATTAGTAAATTAATTTAAAAAAATATTAATAAAAAAAAATTATTAATATTAGGGACCTTTTAAATGTTCAAGGGTCTTCAGGCACCCCTAAAAATATCTTTTAATAAAAAAAATTTTAAATTTAGCGTTATTTTATCATGTAGAATACATGAGGGTGCAAACTGCAGCTTCAATAAAGTTTTTTTTATCCACCTTAATATATATATATATATATATATATATATATATATATATATATATATATATATATATATATATATATATATATATATATATAATATATATATTTGTGTGTGTGTGTAAAAATATGCATTTCAGATGAGTCTTTCGCTGATGAAATATTTTTTATTTCAATTTTAATATTGCAATTAGAAAAGAAAATAAAATAAATTTAAAAACTTTCCCAGGTGTGCTATATCAAGAAAATTTATAGAGGAGACCATAGTGCCAGAGTTTGTTGAAGGCCTTTGAAATATCTAAAGTAATGACCTTGTTTGCAAATTCTTTTGGTACACTTATATGTAAAAGTAATACAAATTAATATAACATCACATTCAGTATTATATTATTTATTATCATTAAAAATGATATTTTAGCTCATAGAGCAATAGTTGTTGTATGAGGTAAAATATCCATTTTAATAATAATAATAAATACTGATACCAAACATGATGTTTTATTAATATATATAT